ATTGCTTGGGCTTTTTAAAGTTAAAAAATCTGGACTAAAAGAGAAACATTGTAATTTTTGTACATTTAATTTAATTTAAACAGTCATATGTATATTCGCTCACTTCCATTTGTAGTTTATGCGTGGGAAAATTTTTGGAAACAGTGCTTTCAATTTTGTCTTTTTCTACTGTTAGCTTCAAGAAGAAAATGCGACACCAAGATCAATCTGATTCATAATTAATAACTTGATAATGAGTATTATTAATTTTAACAAATGTAATTTATTCGTATTTTCATAAATTTAATTGTAATGTACTTAAATTACGTAATTCTTAAGGAGCAACATAAATATTCCCGTACTTCGAGTCCTCGAAACTAAGCACGATGTTAGAAAGTAGCAGGACGCATTGTGCGAAGTCATGCGGAGTTTAACGTGAAGTTTAACGACATGAATGTCGTTTGGGATTAATAATACCACGTTCGAGATGTCTGAAATATTTTGAAGATTTTTAAGAAAATTAGGGAGGATCTCATTGTGAGATACGTGATATCCCGGAGTGCTCCTTGCACGTGTCAACTGAACATGGTGGGAAAATTGCGAATTAATGCATTAATGCAGCATCAAAATAATGATAATTTTTCTAATTTCACTTTCCTGTTCTCTCATCATGCGCGTGGTGTGCGCTGCAATTATTATACCTTTAACGGTCATCGCAATTTTTTTCTACCTTACACTTTACGACGCAATAGTTAGGCTAATCGATCGAAACCACACACCATTATACACTAATCTCGCTCTTTCGACGTCGAGCACATTCATTAAAACATTACTAAAGCATTAATACCTGGTACTCGAGATTCCATGCGCTGGCGGACCAATGCGGCGATGATCATTAATAACCCTGTCGATATCACTCGGCGGTTTATTAAAAGGCATTATAAAATTCAAATCGAGCCTCGTGAACGGATAAAAGGATAGCTTCGCTAAGTGAGCCGCGTCGAGGAGAATGCTCGTCGCGTAATGTATACGTATGTGATGCAAACCTGCTATTAGCGAAGAAAAAAAGATAGGGAGATAGAAAGTTAGAGAAATAGAGAGAGAGAGAGAGAGAGAGAAAGGGACACCGGAAAAATGGGCACATGGCCGATAGATTTTCTCTGCCGAGAAGGGGTAAAATAAAATGGAATATCGTGATTTATCGTCTAACGTACGCGTCAGCCAATTTGTCCCGCTTCCACGCGTGAACTGTCTCGTGTCGTGAAAGCCTGTCCCGCAGGATGCAAACGAAAACATGGATTGCATTTCATAGAGTGGTCTCGATGGTCCGCGTGATGCGAGCTCGCTCGCTCGCGCGCGCGCTCGTACGCCGAAATTACAAAATTCTGTCCGGACGATGCACACGTGTGTGCCGCTGACGTTCCTCACCAAGATACGCCAATAATTGTCCGCAAAATGAAACGACAATTAGCGCGACCGGTGGACGAGACCTTACTGATTTTGTGCGGTGCTTGTGGGATCGCTGAATTACACCGTCGGTTCGCTCTATGCAAAGTATCACATTATCGTCAGTAATTACTAACGATGTGTCTCCGTCGCGTCGTTCGTTGAAATAAATTAGTAGCGACGCTTTGTGGAGTTAATTATAATGTATCGTATTATTTCATAAATACCACTTAATTGAACGTATTCGGTCGTTTTAACAATGCGGCCGCTTGTATCATCTTTCCCGATAATCCGGATTACCAACTTTCCTTTTGAATCCGACATCACCACATTTATAACATTCCATTAACATTAAAAAAAAAAACGGGAGAAAGGATTTTTTAACATAACTTTTATATGATTTTTAATATCATCGGGTAATAAGGGGAACGCATTGGCGAGAAAACGTGTGGTTATTTAGAAATACTAAAGTCGCTTTCGCACGTCTCTTACTTGGTGTGGAAGCGAATCGTACTTGGAGAGAGAATAAAAATTTATGGATGCACAGGAAACAAATGATTAATGCGTATTGTCGTGGAAAACACACGTACGAGGCCGGCTCAGATGTTAACCGGCGCAATTTCCCTTTGGCGTTCCTCATATTTTACGTCAGTAACAAATCACGTTTCCTACAATTTAATCTTGAACCCTGATTCATCGCCGTCACTTTCACGGCCTAACTTTATAATTCCGAGAGACTATAAAACTCGAGAAACTATACGCATAATTCGCATAATCGCGAAGTTGCTTTGTAGCAGGTCGTCCTACGGTATTGATTCGCGCTTTCTTGCGAATACGCTACATCCCTACGTTTTCTACACCAAATGCACAAATTTTGGAAATTTCTCGCTTTATTGAAACACTATGTATTGTGATAAGAATAATTAGCAATTACATCACCGATTGATCAACCAATACATTAACATGTTACTTGCGAACTAGGTTGAAAAGCGAGACATGAAATTATAATCATGAAATATGTGTGTGCAGCTTTAATAGCTTCCTTACTCGATGCCAGTCTTAATAATGCCGAGTAATAACTATCATTATTGTTAGACTTGCTACACTTTAATAACGTGTATTAATTATCAAAATAGTCCGGATCGTTGGAAGTGAGCAAATTATTCGAAACTTAATATCCGATGCAGTAATATTTCACTGTAATTACTGTAACGATAGCTCTCTCTCTCTCTCTCTCTTTCTCTCTCGTAGTATCGTTTATATTATCACCTTCTCATGTCGTACAATTTATTCAATAAAGGTGAAGGAACGAACTTCGAGCGTAAAGGTTCGTAAAAAGGGGACTCGGCGGCGAACTTCGTCATTTGCTTTATACGCGACGGGAGTCATCACGGTAGACGAGAAATTGAGAGCGAAGAAGCTGCTTGCCGCTGCTGCGCGTTCGCAATTAGGATGGAGGCGAAGTCTCCGGGCTACTCATTAACTCCGGTATGAACCGGCGAGCGAAGCGTATCAGCGGGCTAAAGTCGAAGAGGTAACAAGCTGGTATCCTCCAGCACAGTCATCCGCCACGTTCCTTTTATTTCGCCGGAGTGTCGCCGGCAAATCTTATTTAAGGCAGATTTATCGCCACCCAGCCTCTGAGATCGAGGTAGGATATTACGCCGGACCCGGATGCGCCATTCACAATGCGACTTCTCGACTCAAAAAGTGTCATAACTCAAAACCTGAGCGCCTCTTCGAGCACTTCCGCCGCTCCAGCACATCGTGTGCCAGAATCCGTCCTCTCGTCGTCCCACCGTTCCGTTCCACCTCCCATCCCCCTCTCTCATTCTACCCACCGTTCCGTTCCGGCTACAATCCGTTCCGTTTTGTTCCGCTATAAAGTGAGAGGGCGAATGGAGCCTCCCGCTTTTTGTTAATACGCGCGAGGACCACTCAGCGGTGTCGAGCGGGCGAATTTTTCGGCGTATCGCCGCTTCATCGCGCCGGACAGCGGGAACTTCTTCCGACGTCGCGGAAATCGCGAGGGATCGTTAAAATTGTACGACTCACTCGATATCGCGCGAAAGCGGGGAGATTAATCACGGATGAAATCGGATAAAAGCACGATGCCTTCGTAGACTGAAATTAATGGAAAGTCGAAGAAGGAACTCGGTTGAAACGTGGAGAGCGCGCGAATGACCAAAGCGGATAAAGAAGAACTGACATAAGGTAAAAGTGCCGATGCTTCGGCATACATCTGACTCCGGACTCCGTTTTTGTTATTTTAGTTTTTAAACACGAATATTCAAATTTTCAACGTAAAATATACACGCGTATATTGAATATATACAATATTTCGTGTTTAAAGATCAAACGTTTGTGTTCGAAACTAAAATAACAGGAGGGTCCACATTTAGGCGCGTGTTCAGACATTGGTACTTTTTATCTTGTTTACCTGCGGAACAATTAATACATAAACTCATTTTGTTCCCTTTATTTACGTCAACGATGAAGTAATCGTAAAAATATCAACGCCTGGACACGCATCTTACTCGGAACATTTTTGCGTTATTTTGACTTTTAATACGAATATGAATATTATACGTAAGTATGAATATTCACAAATTTTCATATTGAGTATATAAACCATTTTATGTTTGAAAATTCCTATTTAAAGACTGAAATAACAAGAATATCCACAGTTAGACACGCATTTGTATATTTTATCTTATCCGTCTACGGAACGATTGATACATAAATTCATTTCGCTTTCATCTACCTGCGTCAACGACGATCGTTGAAATTGTACAATTCACTCGCCGTCGCGTGGAAGCGAGAGGATTAATCGCGACTGAAACTGAATGAGAGCTCGACACCTTCGCCGGTGGACATTTTTTCGGAATTTCCTTTCGACATTTTTTCAGTGAAAACTTTGCAAATTAGCGGAAAGTTGGAGAAGGGCTGAATTGGAACCTCGGAATTCGTGCGAGTGGCCGAGACGCGACGGATGAAGAAGAACTGACCTATCCGTCTATCGAACAACTGATACATAAACTCATTTCGCTTTGATTTATCTTCGTGATCGCCGAAGTAAATAGTTCTCACCGTTACAGTTGCGGGATGAACCGTTTCCGTCGGTTTTCGACCCGACTCCCCGGCACATCGGACGGAGGAGAATTCGCATTAGGCGAAATGGACCATGGGAGTAGCTAGTTTTTCGACGCGCCGGAAGAAAAGCCGGCGTCGTGAGGCGAGAGCGTCGCCGTGCGTGACGGCCGGCGGCGGGGAGTTCGATGCGGTATCGATCGCGCGGCCTCCTGATCGATATGCGCGTGTCGCGGCCCGAAAGAAACGGACGAGTCCGACGATCTATTTTTTCGCTCCCCTTCCGCAACGAACGGGCACCATTAGTGCCGGGATTGGCCGATACGCGCTTGAGCGAGCACCGCGGCGCTTTTTGCCGTCGGCCGGGCCGCTTGAATAATTGTGTTTTGCAACGTCCGCGGGAGCGCTTAGCCGGACTCCCGGGCGTGGATCCAAAGGAGGATCAAGCAGAGGGAAACTCGAAAAGCGGACCTATAAAAGGAACAATGGCGCAGGGCGAGTCGCGCAGTTTTTCGGGCGATCGCGGCTCACGCGGACTGATCCAAAAAGGCACGCGTGCCGCGACGATTGATTGGCATCATGGCCGCCGAAGTGAGTGCATCCCATGATTATCCCACTTGTCCTCCCGATCTGTCCCGATCGCTTTGCGACGTCATCTCGGCAGCGCGGTGCGAAGAGCCGGGCGCGTCGCAATCCTCGCGGCGACATCGGACGTGCCCGGGATTTCGTCGCTTCTCTTCGCGAAACCTGTCCTTCTTTTCCATTTTCACCACGTGGGTTATTCGACAGGCACCGTGAGAAACCGCGAGAGATCCCTCTCGGCTGAGAAACTTCCCGAGCTGTACACCGCGAGAGTTGATGTTTCCCGAGCAAAAGTTTTACGGACGTCCCGATCAAAGATTCATTCGACAAGGTAGAGTCAACAATTACGCGAAGGAAAAGAGAAGAGAAATATCCGGGAGAATTGTTTTCGTACGCGTCGCGCGACAGGAGAATACCGTGATGCGTGTAAAGGTTATTGTTGTAATTTCGACGAAATTCGCTTCGTTTTGCGAAAAGAGAGCAGTGTCAAACAAGCGTTCCGACGGCCCGCTCATCGTCAACGCGAAGGGCGTGTTTTAATTAAAGTTTATCTTACGCTTCATTTGCGAGAGACGCTTTGAATATCGGAAAGGAGACGTGTCTAATAATACTTCCCCTTTTGTTTTCGGCGGAATTCTCCCGACAAAGGGAAAACGCATCCTTGAATCTCCTTACTTTTATTATCTTCTTTATCTAGGCTGATCCTTTCCCTTTGTTCCTTAGCAATTCACCCTTTTCTTGCCTCCCTCGCGTCGTCAGACCCGCCGTGAATCCGCCACCCTGTTTCGCCTATCTTCCAACATAACCCGCGCGCTTCCCGTTTTTTTCCGTCAGCTAATACGCGTCACGCGGACTGAGGCGCGCCCGCTGCAGTTCTTACGGTTCTTTCTTCGAGAAGCCCCGTCCGAGGTGCTTCTTCTTCCGTTTGCTTAGCTACTCAGCTACTCCCGCCTCTGTACCAACCAAATCGTACTCAGTATCTCACGATCAGCGTTCAACTCGCGAGAACTCGATTAACGAGATCAAGATGCTTCTCGTCAGCTCCTCCTCTCCGTGCTGGTGCTTCCGGCCTTACTACTGGTTAATGCGAAACCGGACGGACACGCGCACTCTTTCCAGCATTTCCACGGACCGGTGATGGGCGACGAACACGGCGTTACCTGGAGGGACGGCCACGGACATCACGAAGACTACGTCGGCCATCCGCACTACGCCTTCTCGTACGGGGTCGAGGACCGCCATACGGGCGATTATCACGGTCAAAAGGAACACGGGGACGGTAAGCTCGCGTAGTTTGAATGGAGATTAATCTCCTCCGAAGGATCCTTCTTGTCTTCTCGTACGTACCGCGAACGAGGAGAATAAGAATAACCTACTTACGTACGCGGAATCGCGATGCCCCGGGAACTCCAGGAGAGAAAAAGCTGACAAATGTAGCGGGACGAACGTAGAATAGACTGATTGCGCGAATAAAAGTGGCAACGTGACCTTTGCTTGAGCAATTTTATAATGTTGCTCTTGGAATACCCAATGAAATGCTGCGACACGGTAATTCCTTTGACTTGACTCACATACAGCTCTCTATCTCTCTCTCTCTCTTTCTCTCTTTCTCTTCTTCGTGAACGAACGGTCGATGACGTTAGGAATATTTTATTCAAGACGCTTTTGGTTTTGTTCTACTGAAAACAGTATTAGAGAAAGGACAGCTCGTACGCCATCCGCATTTCTCGCAACAATTTAAATGTTGAAGAGGAAGAACATCCCCTTCTTCACGAAAACATGCTCAAAATAACAAATGCAGCTGCTTCATAACTTTTTCATTCACTCGAAACTCACTCGTTGATGAATACTATTCTCAACCTTATGCTCAGTTCATCTCGCATACGGGATAATTGTAACGCGTCATTTCGAAAGTAACTTCTGTCCAGGATGAAACGAAATTTCTCACAATGCCGAGGCAAATATCGTTTCCGACGGCCCAGTTTTTCGTAATTTCCTAATGGTATTTCCACAAAGCGCGACTTTTTTTCTATATAAAACGAAGTCATCGAGCGTCGTCAAGTTTTAACCGGAGCGAGAGAGATTTCGTAGCAACGCGCCGAGAGAAAAGTTAGGAACGATAAAAGTGCTGCTAAAAAAACCGCGCTTCGGCATTCCCGCCCTCAAAGGCAGACGTGCACCGGCTGAAAAGTTTATAATCATATAACGCTTAGATAACGGCCATTGATAGAAGAACTTCTATCTCTCTCTCTCTCTCCCTCTCTCTCTTTCTCTCTCCCCCCTTTTTGAGCAATTGCGAGCACACTATTGCCATTTCATTTCAATTTGAATAATTATGACCGATTACTGTGGTTAATTCAATCTCTTTACTACGGTTATTGTAATTTTAAAGCGACGCTGCAAATAAGATACGCTACGATCATATGTACAAAATATATATATATATATTTTTTGACATGGCATGTACAAAGACATCCACAATTTAATGGAGGATAAACGGACACTAATCAGATTAAATCGGGAATTACCCCTTATTACCATTGATGAATGCATCTCGTTCAATCGTTATTTAACGTTTGATGAGAATACTACGTTTTCCACTATCGCGCAATAAAAATATCAATTGCTTTAATTTCGAAGCGTAAAGCAAGATAAAAATCCAGATTTAATGAAAACCTTGTTGATTATCCGCTACTTCAAGCAAAATTATTTATACAACAGTTACCTTCTACATTTGTCGATTTCAAAATTTCCTGGATTTAAACGAATTTTTTAACAAACGAAAAACGTGTACGAGCAAAATGTATATACCGTGTGGATAAATACAATATCCTTATTCAACCTTTTTAATGAAACGTAAAATAAAATATTTCATGAAATATTCCAAAAATATCTCAAATAGCCTTTGCACTTTTTAAGAACACAAATTAAATAATCATATCAATTCTTAAGTGACTTTTAAGTTTTTCATATAGTAAACGCGCATAAGACGGCCATAATTTTTTTTAATACAAAATACGTGTTTTTATTTTTATTATTCTTATACATCGATTGCGTTGGCCATTTTACTTTGAAAAAAGTGGACTCTCTTAACTGTAGAGGAAAGACAGTCATAACATTTATAAAAAAATAGTGAAAACGAAAATAAAATTATAGGTATATTACAATTTACATATTTTTGTTATGTGTCTAACGTTGGTTACGACAGCTTAAATGTAATTTATTCGACGTTATAGAAGCTTTTCAGGGACATATGAGAAATTTTGGAAGTAGTCGAAAGTAAAAAACATGATATAATATTCACAATGTCGTTATTTCGAATAACGTACGCTCATAAACTACTTTAAATATCGATTATCTTTGAGAATGAGTACAAAAACGCGCTATTTTGCAATTATTGAAGAAATTACAGCCATTAGCCGTCGTATTCGAGTTCAACCTACAGAAAAATCATGTGACAGTATCAGAAATATCACAATACGAGCTGTTATGGATTTCTGAAAAGAGCGGGAGCGTTTTGTATTCCGTCTCGCACTCGTGTAAATCTCAATTCGTCTTCATAAAAAAGAACGATAACGCGCGTCCCAAATATGCCGGCTTTGCGTGGGGCAGCGCAAGACAAATAACTCCTACGTCGACATTTTGCAGGTACGGAAGTGTTCGGCGAATATACTGTGAAGGAACCAGATGGCAACATCAGAACGGTGAAGTATCGCGCGGGTAAAGACGGATTTCACGCTCAGGTGCACAACAGCCACGAAAGTGATCATCACCACAATGCCCCTCAACATCATCATCATCATCATCAGCCCCACGAATATCGTTAGCGCGCACAATTGAATGTCACCTTCCTGCGAAGGCGAATACGGAGGGTGTAACCCGTTGTTATCTTTCTTCAGCAAGCGTTGACGTCTCATTTATATTGCGGTCATTAAAAGATCACTTAAATAACGTTGTCGTTTCTCTTTCCCTAACAAGAAGACACTCGTCCAGATTTACGTCTAGTTTCGCAACAAAGCCGTTTTCACGAAGGTCTTTCAATAAATCGCGAAGCGGCTTTTAGAATCGTTGCGAGAGCGAAATAAGTTGGCCAATCGCGCAATTATCGGACTAAATTTCTATGAAAGAAATAATCGGCAATATTGGATTGTTATTAGTCCAATTTCCGGGCGGAATCGTTTGAGGTTGCCCGAGAAACGATCTTGCGACAATGCACCGTAAAGCGAACTGTCCTGCAATTTGTTCCCTCCACTTTTAGTCTCGAATATTAGACCGCCTCGTTGAGGCTGCGGTATCATTAGAAGACATTTAATTAAGCAATATATTCAGGATTAATTTTTTTTTTAGTTCACTTTAGATCACAAGTAGGTCCTTCGATCAATCCGTAAATGGGCGCATAGCTTTTCGAGGAAAGTAAAATAATTGCTATTTATAAAGATGAGATTCTCGAGTGTTATTGACGCTACTTCGCTTATTTGAACATAAATCTATTTATATGACATAAATATTTTATTATAATTAAATTTCACTTATAAACATACGTGTAAGCGAAGGCAAGTTTCTGAAAACGCCAATGAGAAAAATGACTTAAAAATTTAATTGTAAAATACAAGGTTTATTTTACAGAAATGAAGGCTTATTTAAATACGGCGAGATAAAATTGTATTCCTAGCAAATGAAACAATTAATGAGAAAACTTAGATATATTTCGCAAAAATATACGTTCCGTCGTCACAGTCTAATTTTTCTCAATCAATAAATATCGAAGAAAACATCACGAGAAATATTTACTTCGCAAAATTTCAATTTCTTTTCCTCAGTGTGTTATAGACAAACGAAGTGGAGAAACATTCGTTTGTTCATGGCTCAGGTAGGAGACCCCTTTTACGCGCACACGCGCACACACATACTTACGGGTTAAACAGACCATAGTAACAGCCTTAATTCACCGGAAATTTACTAATGAGGCTAACGTACGCTCATCTCTCGGCGCAGTTTTATACTTAAGCAAGTTGCGCTTAAACAAATGGAACAAGCACATCTTTTTCGCGGGAGTCAACAGATACGCATCTCCCCAAAGTCGCGTCGAAAATTGAATCGCGCTGCACACCTCACGGAGCGGAAAGGGACTTCGAGGTGCATCCACTCGCTGCTCACTTGTCTACCCTCGTGCAACTCGAACGGCACTCGTAAATGATTGCCACGCAGTGAAAGCATATCGCGATAGGCATTCGGCAAATAGGCGCAATACTCGAAATTCAATTTGTTACATGGCCTATGCACGTCGGATATTGTCTGCTCCAAATTACTTCCCGTTCTCTCCCGCGAAGAGAGAGAGCCCGGAATCGCAGAAATTCGCAACTGCAATCGAAAGCCGATATACGGAAGCAGCCGAATGCCGATGAAATTCTAGGGGACACAGGATTTTTTTTGCAGCGGACGTAGAGCCCTCACCGATGGACAATCTGCTTAAAGCGTCGCTGCTTGAAAATCTCGCGACGGTGAAATTTGCGCGGCCGTCCGAGAAAGACACGTCGAATTGTCAACTAATCAATGCGCTAATCAATGCGCTTTGTTCAGCGAGTCGATCGCTCACCAGGCGCGTTTTCGTTGCGACACGTTCGCGTGATAGCCCGGTGTCAAAAGCGAAACGACCGATGGGAGCAATTCGATGCAACAACAATCATCGCTCGTATAAGGTACCGAGCCATGTATCTCCATATCTTTGAATATTTATGTCGACGACATAAAAAATATCTCGTACACGCAACAGTACGATGTAACGTCCGGCTGAGCGCGCACACTGCTCGCGGAAATACATCGTTCATACATGCGCACTCGGTATTTCGCATAATTCCCCTCCTCGCGTGCAGAGCGTGAGGATTACGAGACACTTCTTCCCAAAATATAATAAAGGTCCGTGAGCGTGTCGATATTCTATTCCGCGTGTGTCCACGTGTAATTTACATTCGACGCACGGCCGAACGATAAATCACCGGCCGGAGGACCGGGAAGAACAGCGCGGTAAACACCTGATAACACGTATTCCGTAACGCGCAATATCGCGGAAAATAGTAAACTTGCCCAAGCTCGTGTGTATATTTTCGTTAATTGCCGAGAGATACCGTGTTAAGCGTCATAAATCGATCTCTGGGCTGGTGAATGAGACCGACGAAATTGCGTTCCGATACAATAGCCCGCCGGCCGTGCACGCACGTTATTGTTGTCAACGGTCGTTTCATTACCCGGAAACTTACGACTCGTAATTTTCACTCTCGGCTTTATTTAGACGTTATTGCGCCATACACAAGCGGGTGGGAAACTTGTTACTTATCGAACATCAATCGAACAGTGTTCCTACAACTCCGCATTCTGCCTTATTTCATTCGCTACGTTATTCCTCGATCATTTTCACCTCACTTGATAAATCTAAAAGTTCCAAATCTTGCGGCTCGTCACCTGTATTTTCCCGCCGAAGAGCTGCACCTGACGACTCTTTTTCTATGCGCTCGGGAAATAGATTTCTGATCGCCAAACATGGACGCAATCTCGGCTACATAGTCGTGGAGTTTGAAAATCGCGAGACAAAGGCGCTTTGATTAAGCGTTTCGTAACTCGTCCGCGACAGATGCTTCCGGGTCAACCTTGGTCGGAAAACAGGCGATAAATAATCGTGCTCGATATCAGATATCTTATGGAACATTGAAATCAGTCGGCGCAGTCCGCGCAACGTTTACTTTATCGACCGGTCGTCGATACGATTTCCTTTATAAAGTCCGCTCCGAGAGGGAGGACCAAGTTATCAAAGAATCTTCGGTAGCGTTTTCTGGAGCAAGGTAGAAAGGCAATGGGACAGAAAGGAAAGAGAGGAGAAGGTGGACGGGTCGAGAAATAAGAGAAAAGCCGAGATGGGAAGCTCAGCTCTCTTATAAGCTATTAAAATGAAGACCGGAGAAACTAATTTCTCGCGCGGTACGCACGGAGTGCATCGTCCCTCATTATCGTCTCTTCCCCGGGAATTGCACGGACCCATGGAGAAATCGGCGACGCTGTGAAACAGTTCGAAACTCAGACTAGTTGATAGCAGTGAAACTAAAGCCAGTATTATACCGATATATCAATATCATACCAATACCTCCGTGTTCGATACGGTTGTTTCAACATGCAGATCCTTTCCAAAATGTGTCCACAAATATGAATTGTTAAACAATCACCGACGATGGTACCGGTAAAAATAGCCCGTTCAATACTGAGCGGGTAAGTAAATTCTTTCGTGATGGGTATTTAAATCCGCAGATCCGCTCGTCCGCGGTAAAGCCGTATAATTTCCCATCCTGCGGACGGAGATACACGCGCGCCGATTTATATTCATAAATGCGACTCTGTGTCCGATTACTGAATCGCGAAAGTTAAATGGCGCTCTTCAGCGCGAGGAGCGTCGCCACGGGTTACGGAGCAACTTTCGCCCGCTTTATGATGTTTCCGGAGTTGAGTTACAGCAAGGTTACAGGATCCGGGGATCGTAAAAACTCTCGATGTTGCCGCGTGTTGTAAAGAGGGGGCGAAAGGGAGACGATGAAGGGGGCATTTTTTCTCGAAGGAACTCGAAGCCCGCCGGCTTTCGGCACAGGATGAAATATTCAAGCTCGAAGAAGATACGTAAAATACACGAGACGTCTTCATTTACGACTTATACGCGCGAGTAGGATTACAACGTAGGGCTTCGATTATTTTCAGACGAGTCGTCGGTAGTAAACATACTTCATTAATAGAATCTAAATAGAATCATCGATTAATATTATCCATTAATTATGTCCTTTAACAGAATCTAAATAGAATCATCGAACATACAAGTTTTCATTTGTCATACGTGCGAGCACAAATTTGGAGAGGAAAGTTGTAAATTTCAAAATTTAGTAGAATAATATTTTGCGAATCAATAGGCTCGTCAATTTTAAAATTTAACCAAGTTATACTCTGCGAGTCAATAAATTGCGTGAGTCGTTAAATAAATGTATATCGAGCGGCAGTTGCCGATTAAACGTCGCACGGTGCGATACGCCGGTGGAGTCGGTAAAAATAATATTAATAAAATTAATCAAATTAATGGAATTTGCTTTCATGTTGAAGCGAGGGAATTTCTCGCTCGTCTCGCACTGCTCTAATTGCGACGCGCATTCGACGGGTTGTCTCTTTTCCTTCGCGCGTGACGCGAGACGTTGGGCAAACGGTGAGACAATGAGCGGGCCGAGCGGCACAGGTAAAATCGATCACGCGCCCCAGCTTAATTGTCTCTCACGATAATAAGTGCCTCGCGGGAGCGCTGAAAGCGCTAGACCATAGTCGAGGTAAACGTTGTCCGACAAAACACTCTCCTCAGTGGCTCGGGCATTTTCTCGAGGAAATGAACGCCGCCTCCTGCACGCACCGGCTTACGCAAAGCGCCGTGAGCGGCTTCTGCGGATCCGCCGCGCGAAAGTAGCCGGTCGCGCTGAGATGCGTTCCAGGTATGTATCAACGTGCTCTCCTCCTTTTTCGAACGTCCCTGCCGATCGTGATCGCACTACGTAAGCGCGGACGAGGAAGGGTCGCGGGTTTCTTCGCCGGTAACCGCAAATTACGTTAGTAAACAAAATTCCCGGACGGTAAGTTCTCGCACGGGGGAACGCGCTACAACTTCTACGCGACTGCGTTCCCTTCGAGCCCTTTTTCACTTCCGAGTCCGACCGGCTGCGGAAGATAAATCTTTGTTTAAAGTTTTCAGTCTGCGCCGGGCTCCGGGAAAGCGTTGCACAGGTATTTTAAATGTTATCCGAGCCGGCTTTCG